TTTTTTTTTTTTTTTTTTTTTAGTTGTGGGGATGGACACCAGAAGAAAGGCAATCAAATGCCGATGCCTACATAGATACTAACAACAGTAATGGTATTTACCTTTAATTGTTTTCTTGTATTCATCTGGGCATGTCTTTTTTTTTTTTTGTTCTTTATTTCTATTTGTCTTTTTTTTTTCTTTTCTTTTCTTTTTTCTTCTTTCTTTGATGACGATGATGTTAAGTTTGTTTACTCCGCTCTTCTTTACATAGGACGATTATACATCTATAAAAAGAAAGTCAAGAAAAGAAAAAACAAAAAAAAAAAGATAGTATCTATTCGCTTTACTAAGAACATTGGTACAGTGACTGAGCGTCAAAGAGAGAGAGAGAGGTATCATTCCATACTTAACGCTGATACCAAAGGTAGCCAGTAGAGAAGAAAAAGCAGAAAAAGAAAAATAAAAAAAAAAAACTAAACCAAACTAAAAGAAGAAGGATCTAAAAAAAGAAAAAAAGAAAAAATAAAAAGAACAAATATGAACTCAAACCACCACAGTGGAAACACGGCGTATCCTTTCAAGGTAAATCGCGAAATGTATCGTGAACAGCGCCAACGCCTCGGCTCTTCCCTGCGAGCAAGCATGGACTCCACACATGCGGCCTTTCTTCAAGGAGCCTCAGAGGTGCCGATAAACTCAACAGATGTGAATCATCTCTTCTGGCAGGAGAGTTATTTCGCATATCTCTTCGGTTGTGATATTCCCGACAGCTTCGGTGCTGTTCTCAGTGATGGAACGGGGCTTCTCTTTATTCCCCGCTATCCCCTATCGTACGCGGTGTGGATGGGCGAGTTGCCCACACCAGCGAATGTAAAGGCCGCCACGGAGGTGGAAGAAGTCTATTACACAGATGAGATTGAGAGTGTACTCACGGCGAAGGGTATACACACCGTTGAGGTATTGGATGGTGTCAACACAGACAGTAATCTTAAGGTGTTGACCGCACAGCTTCCAGCTGGATCAAAGATAGAAGTTTCTACCAAATGGTTGTTTAAAACATTAACGCATCAACGTTGCTACAAGACAAAACTTGAAGTGGAACTTCTTCGTTATGTTTGTAAGGTGTCTAGTGATGCTCATATTCACGTGATGCAGCATTGCAAACCTGGTATGTCCCAACATCAATTAGAGTCTAACTTTTTACATTATGTCTATTATCATGGTGGATGTCGAAAGGTGGCTTACACGTGTATTTGTGGTACTGGTCACCATGGTGCTATTCTTCACTATCCAAACAATGATGCCCCTGTTGAGGATGGAACGATGGCACTTTTGGATATGGGAGGACACTACGCCGGTTATGCAAGTGATATCACCTGTTCTTTCCCGGTAAATGGTAAGTTTACAGAAGAACAACGAATTATTTATAATGCCGTATTGGATGCACATAATGCTGTATTGAAACAGTTGAAACCTGGTGTAAACTGGGTGGATATGCATAAATTGGCTCTTCGTATAATGTGTGAACACCTTGTAAAGGCGGATATCCTCCGTGGTGATGTGGATACTATGATGAAAAAAGAACTGATGGGTCTTTTCCAACCACATGGTCTCGGTCATCTTCTTGGTATGGATGTACATGATGTGGGTGGATATACAGATGAAGCCCCACCACGACCTACTTCAAGTGATTGCTGTAAATTACGTATGGCCCGTGTATTGGAAAAGGGACTTTACCTCACTGTGGAGCCTGGATGTTATATTAATCACGCCCTTCTCACAGAGGCATTTAGAAATCCAGAGTTTAAGCCTCATCTGAATGAAGAGAAACTGCGCAGTATGTGGAACTTTGGTGGAGTAAGAATTGAGAGTGATGTACTCATTACTGAAAGAGGAGCAATGAACATGACAGTGGTCCCTCGTACAGTAGAGGAGATTGAGAAGACAATGGCGGGTGCTCCCTTCAAGGGGGAAGTGACTGAACTCGTGCATTAAAAAGAAATCACTAAGAAAAGAGGATAAACTCATACTTGGGGAAGGATAGAGGCATGTATTTACTATATATATACATACGTATATGTAGTCCTCTTATTTTTATTATTATTATTGTTTTTATTATTATTATTATTATTATTATTACTGTTTTTATTATTATTGTAGCCAAATGATATCGGGAGATGAGTAGTGTGAAACTGCGAGACTGAAGTGAAAGTGGGGATGATGGATTCATGTGGGGGCATACATAAAAAGCAAACAACAGCGAGCGAGAGGGAAATAAAGTGAAAGAGAAAGGTATGAACTCCGGGATAAAGGAGAAAACAAAAAATTCAATTCGTTTTTCTTGTTGTTGTTATTCTTTTTTTTTCGTCTGAGGGTTTTCTTTTTTCCTTGTTTTAAAGATTCTATGATGATTCCTTTTGTTTTCTTTTTCTGTGATCGTAGAAAGAAGTGCGGGGTGAGAGGATAATTTTTCTTTCATCCCTTAACTTCAAAAAAGAAAAAAGAATTCGGGTCTCAGCGGTAATGAGCTGACAAAAGTACCTTCGTGAAAGATTTTCCAAGGAAAGGTAAAAGCGACAGGGACGGGGGGAAAGAATAAAAAAAAAAAAAGAGGTTAGTTGTTTCTCACACATACTCTTTCTCTTTTTCTTAAAAAAAAAAAAAAAAATACTTTCAGTGAATCTCTCTTTTCTCTCTCTCTTTTCTTTTTTCTTTCTTTTCTTTTCTATCTATCTGTCTATTGAAAAGCCTCTTATGAAGCGAAAGGCAAAGAAGGAGCAACAGCTGCAGAATGGCAGTGCAGTGAAAAGTACCACCGCAGCCGAGCGAAAGGGAAATGCAACTGTGGTGATAAACCCCAAAGAAGATAACGACATTGCGGAGATCTTCGGAATTATCCGCAAGGGGAAAAAGCAGGAAGGCGACAACAACAACAAGAAGCATAATAGTAAGATGGACTCTAAACAAAACACAACGACTAATACTCCTGTTGAGCCCCGTAGTGACGGTCTCTATCGCGCCCCGGAGAAAACACTCGAGTTGAGTGATGCGGCCTTCTTTGATGTTCCCTCGCAGCGGCGGAGGGGCCGCGGGGGAAAATCCTCCGCAACCGCAGAAATCTCGGGAGATGTTCTGCAGCGCGAGGGCGTACATCGTATTATCACGATGGAGGAACTGCAGAAGATTACTTCCTCTAATCCAAAGGCAGGCACAACACCTAATTGTCCTTTTGATTGTGATTGTTGTTTTTAAATACATACTCTCTCTGTGTGTGTGGGAGAGAAGAAATGGAAAGGATTGGATTGGATTGGAGGAAAGGGGAATGCTTGAGTGCGTGAGTCTGTGCGTGTGAGGGTTAGGATGATGATGTTAGTGGTGGTGATGATGATGAGTCTCTCTCGGTTAAGACGTTGGGCGTCGCAAATTATATTTATTGCCTTTTATCTCATTACATCCTACTTATTGGGATGTACTGAGATATCTAGCTATAATGTCTACATAAATATGTTTGTTTACACATGTGCTATTTTTTTCTTCTTCTTTTACTGAAGTTACCCTTTTTTTTTCTCTTCTTTTTCTCTTTACGCATTCTTATTTCTTAATATGGAGTGAGTATCTGAATATCAAAGCTGTGAAGGGACCACACAGCCACGACCGAGTAAAGGGGGAAAAAAAAAGAAAAGAGAAAAAAAAACCTCATTACATTGTATCCTCACAGTTTATTATTATTTTTATTATTTCTTATTATTATAGACGAATGGAATCCACATACTCTCTTCGATGTGCACCGGCACGGCGATCACTTAAATTTCCTGCAGGTGAACATGCACGGCATTTTCTTGCCTTTGATCCATCTATTAGCAAACACGATCGTATGATTCTCTATATGGAGGTGTTTGCCCATGTACACTCTCTTATTGATTCTACTGTAATTCCGCACTTTTCCCCTCCATCATATCTGCCAGAGCAGAATGTTGAGCTTCGTGTTTTGACAGATCCACGACATCCAGCCTATGGTCAAATTGGTTTATTTGCTAGAAGAAACATTCCATCTAACGTTGTGGTGACACCCTACAGTGGATTTATAGAAATATTTGCTACTTCTTGTAGTTCCAGGACATATACAATGGGGTTTGGTTCCCTTGGTGATGATTACGCATTGGATGCGGAGTTTGTAGGGAATTATGGCCGCTTTGCAAATGATCCTCGTGGTGTGGATGGTCTCGTTGCGAATCTTAGTGCAGAGAGTCGATTTACACCGCGTGGAGAGGCGTATACGGCTCTTATCTCTAGAAGAATTATTAACAAGGGAGAAGAAATCTTAATGTCATATGGTAAAGCTCATAGTTTAACACCTAGTCCTTGGGTGGGTTTAAAGGGTGAACTCCTTACACAATATAGAATGGGCGGTATTGTGCCATTTCCCCAGCTTGCAAGAAAGAGACCGCATACTACTAGTCTTCAATCTGAACGAAATTCGTTTAAGAGAAATGGAAATACTCTTCGTTTAGAAGAACATTGTGGTGAGAATAAGACTTGTGAAAACCATAGGGAAGAGGAAAGATCTACTGTACCTTTGACATTAAATGATACTTATTCTTCATATAATAATAATAATAATAATAATAATAATAATAATAATAATAATAATGAGGATGCAGAGATGCAGTTATTATGGGAGTGTTCACAGTGTGGAACATGGAGTATTGGTAGTCCAAGACCAGTACGTATTGATCACTGCTCTTTTTGCCAATCTCCGCGGTTACAACGAGTTCGTATGGTGGCTGTATGTTGTACCTCTGCCTTAACACCTGAGGATTTATTACCATCCACGATGTGTGAGAAGAGGCAGACACCGTTATCTCCAGTAGAGACCTCTACTGTATTGAAAACGGAGGATGGAAACACCACTATTCCTCTCTCTTCTGTTGTGTCCACCTCAGAGGGTGGCAATACTTATAATAATAATAATAATAATAATAATAATAATCACAAGAGCAATAGTAACGGTGGCAGTAGTGGAGGCAGTTCACAAAATTCTGTTACACCGTTTACCTCTGAGTCTGTTGATTGGCCTCTTAATGTGCCATTTCTCTCTTGGCAAGTCTGGGATGCGGCTATTCCCATTTCTACAATTGCCAAGCACGCGAGATTTGAAACACATGAAAATGTTTTTCTCTATAGTGTGACTACCGCAAATGAAGAGGAACATGGACACTCAGCTGAAGCCAAGGAAGGCAATAATGGAAATGAGAAGAGACAGGAACAAAAGCAAAAACAAGAACAAGAAGAAGAACAACAACAACCAAAAGTACCAAAACGACGGGGTCGTAAACCAAAAATTAGGAGAACACAGGAAGAATTATGGCAAAAGGAAGAATCTCATCTCATGGATTCTCAGCAACCAGAAGAAAATAAGACAACTACCGAAAAGAAGGGAATAAGAAATGATGATGTTGGTATAACTGAATACCTCTTCACTATTACTGATACTAGTCTTCAATTTAGTGAACGACCCAATAATAATAATAATAATAATAATAATAATAATACCAGTGAAGATGGAAGTGAAAACAGTAATAGTAGTGAAACTCCCGCTCTTTTATCATTACAATCCCTCCTAAAAGGTGTCACTCGTCGTGTTTTTGCAGGCAAATCCTATCACAGTGGTGAAGTAGTGGCTGCGGTGGGTGGATTAATTATACCCGCAGGAGATCGACGACATCGTCCTGATGGTTCTGTGCTTAAAATACCAATGAAATATTTCGTACCCGCCCGTCTTCGTCGTGAGCTGCGGGCCATGAAAAGGAACGGAATAGAAACAACCCATAGAGACTGTAGCCGTCTGGATATCAAGAAGAATGAGACAGCAACACTAATAGATCTACTCAAACGGCTTGAAGGCCTCTCATTGGTGGTGACAAATGAACTCATGTTTTGTCCCTGTCTTGTAGTAGAAGATGATGATAATGATAACAATGAGAAAAAGGAAAAAGACAAAGAAGAAGAAGAAAATCAAAAGAGTGATCATATTGATGGAGTGGTTTTAAATGTAGTGAATGAAAAATCACCTAGTCAGTTGTTGCTCGAGTTGTGCAATGTATGCTTTGTTCTAACTATGGATACCCTTGGATGCCCTTACGTTGCTGCGATCGCTGTGAGAGATATCAACATCTTTGAGCCTCTCTTGGCCCGTATAGGCTCTTAGGAGGACGAATACAGAAGAAAACAATGAACGAGAAAGGAAGAGCCACATCTCATTACTCTTCTGTTTCTGTATTTTTCATCTGGATGTTTTTTTTTTTTTTTTTTTTTTTTTTTTTTTGTTGTTGTTGTTGTTGTTGTTGTTGTTGAATTAGTATCTCCTTAAATCTATACTGGTGTGTATTCTATTGTTTTTTTTTTTTATTTGAGTATCTTTAATAGTGTATAAGCCTTCTTTTTCTTTCTCTTTCTCTTTGTTATAGTTTTTGTTTTGGTTGGAGGGTTTTGATTCCCCTATCTTAGGCTACTGAGGTGAATTTATTTAATTTCATTTTTTATTTTTGGAAAGGCACGCTTACCACAAAAAGAAAAATAGAAGATCATATTTTTTATTATTAAGTTGTTATTTACTTCTTTTGGGATTTATATATATATAAAGAAAAAAAAAACAAATGCCACCTAAATCTAAATCTCCAACTGATGCTTCCCATTATTATCATAGTAGCAGAAATCTTTTAAATTATTGGGGCGAAACGCAAGAACCACCAACCTCAACAGCCCCCTTCACTCCCATCTCTGAGATGAAGGGTTTACACACCACCTTATTATTGGATCTCGAGGTGCGTGTGTTAGTACAGCCTATTGGAGAGAAAAACCAATGGGCAGAAAAAGGTATAGGGCGTGTAAATATAAATGGACGGGCAGTTATTGTGATGGCAGACCAGCCACCCACAGAAGTAGCCCCACATAGACGAAATGATAGTGATAAAGCACCAACACCGAAAAGATCTATTGATGTATTTAGAGAAGAGCTTTTCGTACGGTTAATGACTACAGGAGGTTCCTCTGATGATTTTTCATGGGATCAAGTGATAGTGTTAGAAGTCTTTTCTGAAGATACACCCTTTGTGGCGGAGAATAACTGCATTGTGTGGAATGAAAATAGTGGGAGAAACTCTATATGTCTCGCGTTCGCCTCCTCAGATGCTTATATCGCCGTTTGGAGTACCTTGCTTGCCGCTCAGCGTAAACCAATTCCAAATTCATTGTTAAAGTTAGATCTCCTTCGACTATGTAAACCATTCCCAGAGTCTACTGTACAAAGTGATGGAAAGGGAGATACAAATACGCATGAAGATGAGAAGATGATGTTGTTGGTATTGCCGTATTCATATTATATTCATAAGGATTATAATCCTCCTTTGGGTTATGTGGAACGACATGCACTTTCTATGAGTATTATACATCATGGACATGCCCTCAATCCGGCGTTGTACAGTGATCCGGTAACTCTACGAGTACTTTTGGATATTGCAACAGTTGAATTATTGGATTATATTATAAAGGAACCAATGTATTCACACTTGGCAAAATGTTTTGGATCAACACCGCCAAAGGAATGGACTATTCCACATCAACTTTCAAAATTAGTCATAACAAAAGAATTAAAAGACACTATGTCTAATATATTACGCTTACATCATTTAGAGAGAGAAATATTGGTAGACAAAGTAGATGATGAAGTCAGTGCTAATATAAAACAATTATTTCAACAACTTCAAGGTAAAGCATTACGTCAGATAATAGAGAATAATAATTTGGTGTTAAGGGCAAAAAATGCTTTGCTCGCAGCACCCATATCTAAAGAAAGTTTGGTTAGCCTCATTGTATCTTCAAAGGGGGTACAAAACGAACAGGTTGAAAATCCAGAAAAAAACTCTGTAGATTACTCTGAAGTAGATTTAAAAAGACTCCTCTCCGCAGAAAAACAGGTATTCTCCTATCTTCACTTCTTTCGTAGTGTTGTTGGTCTTGCCGTTTCGGATTCTACAGAGAAATTGGTCACTCCAGCCGTTTCAGCCCTTTTTGATGCGGGTCTTCTTGAGGCACTTTCAATAGTGGCCGAACGGTATTGCCTTCAGAAAGAAAGTAGACATTTGTGTTGGAATGAGGGAGGAAAAGGCGTTTGTGCGAGTACTTTGTTTGGTCTTGAGGAAAAGAAACCAACAGGGGAACATTACATACGAACAAGATATTTAACTTCTACCAATACCTCTCCTAATATTTATTCTCCTCGTATAGAGAAAGAACTTATATCCTTTTTAGGGACTGTTCTCTTACATATTGATAGTGATCATGAAGGGGCTATGAGGAATTTAATGTTTCGAATTCCAATTATGAGTGAACCCGCAAAGTATAAAGGTCTTTTTAAATTCTTACTACAACAAATTACTTTTGGATTCCGGAAAGAAATGAATAAAGGTCCTCTACGTGAACCCATTTGCTTTGAAAGGACTCAGTTATGGTTTGATTTACTAGGATTGAATGAGAAGAAGAAACCCCCTTCGATAGATGGAACCGTACAAAAGGATGATAACGTTAATAGTCGTGAAGTATTCTTAACGTATTTCATTCAAAAACATTTATTACCATGGATTCGTGGAGGAATGCAACCAGTTCCACCCGCACCAAATAAATCAACCGTAGAGAATAAGAATAGTTCCTCACCGGTAATAGCACAACAACGTAAACGTATTTCTTCATTTGATGCATTACCGCCTAATATCTCACCATCACTTATTCGACTCTTAGATGGTATTATTACCAGGGCGAGTACAGATGATGTGGAGTCTCTTTTAAGAGGTATTTTTCATGGTAAGTCGTGTGTTTTAAAATATATGGAGGTCTGTTGTGAATTGGCAATTCAAAATAGTAAACAAGTCTGTGTAGATGTACTTTCTAGTAATGTACGTCTTCTTACAAATATACTAATACGAATTACACCAAAAGAATCTGAAACTGAACGTCCTGTTGTAAACGGTCTGAACGGTGTTAATAGTAATAATAATAATAATAATAATAATAATCCCAGTACAGAAAAGCCAATTTGGGGTGCTGTTAACTCCTATAATGCAATGCGTGTCTCCAAGTCAATTATCACATTAGTTTGTCGATCTCTTACAGCGGGGAGAGATATGTTTGGTTGTATTTTTCGTACCTACAATGCATTAGGTGGAGCTCGTAAGAAGGGTTTATTTCATTCAACCGTACTTGGTCTTTTGGAGTATATTGGTAATTTTGGATCATGTTTACCACCTACGGAAACCGATCGTTGTTTCTTGCGTGATTTACGCGATTTTATTTACATTCGGCACAAGGAACGTATGCCGCGTATGTTCTCTACTCTTTTTCGTGATGCCATGATATTTGAAATAGATTCTAGATTTGCACATGATGAAGTACCTTCACTTTCCGCAAGTTTATGTACTCGTGGTTCTTACGGTAGTGGTATCTTCACACAAAGATCAGGTTGCATTGATGAGTTGGAAAGTAGTGGTTCATTTTTCCTTGGTACGACTACTAGTAGTACTAATCCAGCTAGTAATCCTAGTAGTCCCCTTGGTAAAGTTGTTGATAGTCCTAATGATAATATGGAGACCTTTACACAACTGGTGCGTACATTTGCTGAAGAAATAGTACCACCTTCTATATTACCACTATCCGTTAAACGTGATGTAGCGCCTTTGCTTTCCCCAAAAACAAATCTACTTCCACTACAGAAACAGAAGGAAAGTAGAGAGAACCATATCATGGATGAGGAAAGAGGAAATATTTCTAATGAATACCTTAATGAGTGTGTTGTTAGGAGTAGGAATAATAATCTTAATAATGGGAATAATAAAATGATGACTAATAATTCCCAGAAGGAATCCACAGGGAGTAAATCGCTTCCTCTATCACTATCTGCAGTACAAGAGCAAATGGCATCCCGTACAAAAATGACCACAAAATAAGAAGGCATTATCTCAGCAGTGAGAAGGTACGTGGGGGAAAAAAAGAACAAAAGGTATAGAATGACTGGTATGTTGGTCTGAGAGAAACACTGTGTAGAACTCTTGCCTTTTTTTTTTTTTTGTTTTGGTATTGACATGGAGTTAGTAGTAACAGTGTGAAAAATGACAATAATAAAGTGTCGAAAGTATTTATTTGACCAGTTCTTTATTTTTTTTTTCCTTTTATTTCTCTTTATTTGTTTTTTTTTTTTTTTTTTTTTTTTTTTTTTTTAACCACCCTTTGGTGTTAAATACCACGAATGTCGTTTTTGTGGATAGAGTTACTTTATTATTATAGTTATTATTAGAATTGTTATTGCATTTATTTAATATCTGTTGAAGAGGTCAGCTTTTTCCACCCATCAGATTTTTTTTTCTTTCTTTTTTTCCTTTTCCGATTTGAAGGATAAATGCAAACACCTTGATGTTTATGTATTTGTTTGGTTTTTTTTTTTTTTATTATTATTCCATTGTCTTTTTTTTTATGTTTTGGTCTTGCCTTTTCTCATCATTTGCTTATTGTATCTTTCGTACAAACTGCCACTCATTTTGTATATATATATATATATATAATGTTTGTGTGTAGTGTATTTATTATTTGTTTTTGTTTTTTTATATTCCTGTATGCAGGGAATGCTGATCTTTCTGTAGGTTGCTGTTTTGAGCCACAGTAACTACCATTAGGAGCAGAAACCGTAGCAACAGGGGAATACAAAGAAAAGAAAAGAAAAGAAAAAGGGTGAAAGCAGACCAGAGTGTAGACTCCATCTTTAAAGAAATATATAAGAGATCACCTGATGGTGAACAGACCTTATATATATATTTCTATGGTTACTTATTTATTGATATTGTTTTTTTTTTTTTTTTTACCCCACCCCTTTAGTTTTGAATACTACGGATATCCCTTTTTCCTCTCTTGATATGCATGTTAAAATGACTCAAAAACAACGCCGTATCTTTTCATTTTTCTTTTTAGAGAAGGTGACGCGGTGAGACCAGTGTGCTCCCTCTACACGCCTCTCTTCTCTCTAAACGTACATGTGGATATTTCCACACCCCCTTTTCCATTGTCCCTCTATTCCTTGGCTAACACATACACATCCAACAGAGAAAGAAAACAAAAAAAAAAACAAGAACATATTTCTTTCTTTCTTTCTTAATTCCCCATATCATCTCTCTTCTCTCTTTCTCTCTTCTCTTTGTATTGTTTATATCCACTTGTGTATATATCTCTCTCTGTGCGAGCAGCCGCCATTATTCCTGCGATGGCCACTCCCTCTCCGGCGCTGACGGCCGAGGAGCCCCCGCCGCCGCTGCCGGTTGGCGATCGCGACTATCGCGCCTGCCGCCGCTGCCGCCTCGTCCTCACCGCCCCGCAGTTCCTCCGCGACGGCTGCCCGGTCTGCGGCACCGCCCCGCCCGGCCGCGAGGAGCTCCACGACGTCACCACCGCCGACTTCGCGAACTTCATTGGCCTCATCGCGCCGGAGAAGTCGTGGGTCGCGCGGCTCATTGGCCGCACAAACTGCCCAAACGGCGTCTTTGCAGCAGCACTCGATGATGACGATGATGATGATATGGGAGAGGAGGAGGAGGAAGAAGAAGGGGAAGAGGAAGATGATGAGGATGAGGGCAATGAGCCGCAGCAAGAGGAGGAGGAGGAGGGGGAGGAGAAGATGCCTCGACCACCTGTCATGACGGATGAGGAACTGCTTGCCATCAAGAATGATTAAAAAAGGAAAGGAATAGAAAGAGTGCTTGAGAAAAGAAGGAAAGAAAGTAGGAAATGAGCTACTTTACTTGGCTGGAGTTATGCCAAAATGGCTCTTTCAGCTACCTTATTTTTTTTTTTTCTATTCTCTTCTCTTCTTTCTTGTTATGATTGTTACTGTTTCTTATTTTTGTTCACACCTACTAGAACAATAAAGAAGAAAAAAAAAATACATTTTTTTTATTTTTCCTTTATTCCTTACTTCCTTGTACTCCTTTCTCTCTCTCTCTCTCTCTCTCTCTCTCTCTCTTTGTTTGTTTATTTTTGCTAAATAGAAGAAGAATAACAACAGGCTTTATGGCTGACGTCCACAGCCCGGTGCTGTTGCCATCGAAGCTTCAGCCACAGATGACAGATAATTCATTGCCCGTTGGTGTGAAAGATCGTGCGGCTTATGATGAACTTGTTGCCAACTACACAGCACTAAAGGCCAAAGTAAATAAAATGCTCGTATCTCGTGTGGACACTATTCGTCATAGTCCCGTTGTGGATCTCACACGTAATTACATTGGCGCCGCAGGTCTTCAAGCAATGACAAGTCTTCTTGCAAAAAACGATAAATTGGAAGAACTACACCTTCCTGGGAGTGGGCTTAACAATGACTCGGTCGTTTTCTTTTGCCGTTCGATGTTACAACATCATTCCTTAAGATATTTGGATCTCTCCTCTAATAATATTTCTCTCAGCGCCGGTTTGGGACTTGTCTCGTTACTCCAACAAAATCACCACATTGTCCATTTGAATTTAAGTGAAACACAAATACCAGATGCCATTATGAAGAAAATTAAACAAGCTTTAGAACGAAATAAAGTATATATGGCTAATCAAGCAACATCAACCGCAGCAGAATCAAAAACAAAAGCTGCAGTAACAACCACAGAAGCAGAAAATGTGAAAGATGATGCTGCAATAACACTGCGTAGCACAGATAGTGTTTTTCCCTCTACGATTCGTGAAACTGTTCGTAAAGCGGAGTGGAAACGACAGGAAGAAGAATCACTAGAGCGTCTCACATCCATAACTCATGCGGCCGCCGCAGCCCATACAAAATATGTTCCTTCTCCAGATGCAAACTCCGGATGGCGACTTATTGAAGTGGCGATTCTTGCCCCACCTTTTCTTTTTGAATCTGAAATTGATCAATTGGTGCAGCTTGTTTTTCCACGTATCAATCAGGAACTTATTAATTGTAAAGTACAACTTCTTCCTCTTGTAGATCCATCAGATGAACCTGCAGGGGTGTATCTTAAAAATCTTCGTTTTGCTATTGCAGTAGATATTCTACGCAATGTGGAAAAATCACGCTTGTTAACATTAGAACTCATCGGTGATCGCGATGGTGATTATGTGCAACTTCCCGCAAGTGAAATGGTGAAACGTCCACATATGCTGCTATCCTTACGACGTAGTGAACATCCAAGTGACTCTCCCGCTGTTGTTTCTGCAGAGAGTATAGAAGCCCCACCACTACAACCCGTTTTACAGTTAGCTCATGAACGAGCATCTGAACTCTCCGGTTGGCTTATTATTGCTTCTCGTAAAGACACTCGTCGAATGGGTGTTCCCCCATCATTAGCCCCACTTCTCACAGAGGAACCACCAATGGAGCATCCAGACTATTTACAACAACAAGTTCGACAAACTGTTACCGTTGGGGCAGAGACGGTGTGTGGGACTCAAAAGATTGAATGTGATATCGCCGTGAAATATAAAAAATGGCATGAACATCAACAATTTCGAGAAAAGGTTTTGGATACGGCAGCTGTACAAGAATTGGTTATTCGAAATTACAACGCCACCTTTGATCATTGCAGTGAAGATGGACAAGTTCATCTTAAAAATCTTGAAGAATTTACAGAAGCTATTTATGAACGAATGTGTATTATAGCCATGTCACATTTTTCTCCTACTGAAGATGGTCATCCAGTATTTTTTCAAGGTCGTAATATTCTTGAATTTGCGGCACGTAAATTAGCTCTACATCAAGAACGTCTTGGTAAATATTTACTTTCTTGTGTAGATCATGCATTATCTAAAAAGAGTATCACAAACCGTCTTGATGTATATGTTATTGCCCCACCAAGTCGAAATGCATTCCTTCTACACGGTGTAGAACCCACAGCGTTGACATCACTTATAGGCTCTTTTACTTCTGGACTCATGTCTAAAGAACCGCAGAAGTATCGCGTTGCCTATCACACCACACGTTCTTCTCTTCTTACGGAAGAACCAACAGATTTACGTGAAATTATATGTAATATTATTTTACAATTATCTCATGATCAAGAAATTTATCGACGGGCCATTACAGAAGTGGATATTTTCCGTCTTGAACAAATGTTGGTGGAAATCTTAACAGAGAAAACAAAGGCTCCTGAAACCTTTACCAGTACTATTACTACCACTACATCTACTGTTTCCTCCCCAACTGGTGGTAGTGGTGGAAATGAAAAAATCACTACCGTTGTGGTTCTGGATGGTTTGGATTGTGTTCTTCCACCGGTGATACCATGTACAGCATTGCGAAATTCTGAAGAAACTGGAAAAGATGTTTGGGGTGTGCCGGAACAACAAAATCGAGAAGACCCTTTTGCATATATTCCACAATGTCTCTCACGTAATGTACGTCTTGTGTTAGGCTGTGAAACGGGATCTGAAATGTGTCAACGTCTGGAATTACGTGGACGGGATAGTGTGGAATTACTTTCTATGGGTCCAATGACGCCTAATGACTTTGATGAGATGTTAAGACCAGAAGTGATGTCAAAGTTTGGTGTAAACGTTTCGGATGATGACTTTGTGGTGATTCGTAAAAAAGAGGAGGCATTAAGTCCAGAGTTTATCGCATTAGTGGTAGATGCATTACGTGGATTTAATGAGACTCCTGGTGTAGAAACACATACCGTATTATCTTCTCTTCCAGGAACTGTAAATGAAATGGTGGAACGTATTTATAATAATCTTCTTCATAGTTTTAGTCCTGCACTTATTCGTAAATGTACAAGATTACTTATGTGTTCACGATGGGGTATTTATGAACCATTATTATGTTCTATGCTTAAATTACCACAGAGAAGATTTAATCAATTACTTCGTATGATGCGTCCACTTTTAGAAAATGAAAGTTCATCTTCTATTGGTATTGAAAGTGGAAATGCTTTAAATTCTCGTGTCTATATTCGTTCTCGTGCATTCCGTCAATTACTGGAACGTGAAGATTTACATGAAGAAGGAAGTGAAGATGATTACAAGGTATGGCATGAAATGTTAACCCATATGTATCTTAACATCATTCATGATGTCATTCACCGCGAAACACGACCACCTCTCTTTGCACTTCTTAGTACCAGTCCATATGAACGAATGGCAGTAAAGGAATTAACATATCATGCGACTCAAGCAGATGCTCGGCATATTTTATTTCGTTTGGTTCTCTCTATGCCTTTTATTATGTTGGTTTATCGCAATTCTCTTGGTTATCATTTCGTACGAGATCTTATCGCCGCTTTTAATACATTGTATGAACTACATGAACTGGGAGAGTATTCCTATGTTGAGGAACACGATTCTACAGATAGTGGGAAGAAAAATAATATGCCAGAAACAACAAAAATGCCTTCATCTCTTTCACGTTTACGAGATTATATTTACTTCTTACGTCACTACAACGCCCTCCTCACAGAGTTTCCACATCTTGTACTACAGACGGCTATTGAATCCGCTTCCTTATTTCAGTTTGTCTCGAGTGATGCGCGGGATTATATTACGAATAAAATGAGTCATCACGCCCCCATCACTCAACGTCGTGTGGTCTTCTTTGAGACGATACGAAATGCAAAACCAAAGATTCATTATGGACCCATCACCGCATGTGTGTTTGCACCTAATGGGAAACGCATTGTAAGTGGAGGTGTGGATCGCAGTGTATGTACATTAAGTCCTGTAACCGGTGCGGTGGCTGTACAGGCTCGACAGGCTCCAGTGAGAATTGAAGAAATTCTCTTTTGTGAAACCGCCGCTTATCACGCCGCTGTTTGTTTTGATCGTACCTTACTTATCTATGATAGTGCACAGATGAAGCTGGTTTCTAAATGTGATGGAGGTATGTTTGGGGCTCCCATCTGTTCGGTGGCTTTTTCGGCTCGTGGTCGATTTTACATGGTAGCCACAGAAGATCTTCATCTGCGGGTGTTTGAGACTGAAAAGAGTCAACTCATGATGCATCTAAATCAGCGTCAGGTGATGCATTTAAATAATAATAATAATAACAATGAGGAAAAGGAAGATATTAATATGATGCGTGGATATGCTGCTGTAATACCCCATCGAAGTGAAGATGAAGTGTTTTACTCAACATGTCACAAGACTGTCATTATGTGGAGATTAACCCCAACACGTGATGAATTCCTGAGGGAAACTCATTTTGAACTTCCCTTTACAGTTGACTCTGGGAAAGCCTTTTTAAACAGTCACACACACTTGTTATTACATCCCGCTCCTCTTACACCACCAGCGGATGGTAGACGAGCACCACCATGTCTATTGCGACTCTGCAGTGTAGTAGAAAGACGAGAGGTGGCTGTGTTGAAAAGTCCATCTAGTCAATTACTGTATCAGATTTCTGGAAATGAAAAACTCGTTGCCACCGCATTAGAGGATGGATCTATTACTCTTCATCGACTCCCATGGACACAAATTGAATTTGGAGATAAAGATCTTATTGAAGTGGCACCACTTATTCATTTTACAGCCTTCCGTAAATCTCCAATACCAATTGTACGGGATTTGCGCTTTCGTGGGGATAATAAAGGATTATTTGCATTGGGCAATGATCGTGAGATGAAGTTTTGGGTATTACCTCGTGGAATGGCAACAGGGATTGGTGTGGGTGATGCCACTGTTGTCGAAACGGATTTCCCGATAGCGGCTGCCGCTACCAACACCACTTTAAATACTGGCATACTGAATAACACCTATCCACTCCAGCAGCAGGGTGGGAATGAGAGCGATGAGACTCTCTACAAGGATGAGGATGAAGATGAGATTGTCGAGGGCGTTGCTGACGGTGAGTTTGTGCTGCGAACCGGCGATGTCACCGCGTGGGATGTCGCACCGGTGGGAAATACAAATGGCGCCGATGTTGTGTTTGGGGACTCGTCCGGGCGACTGACCATGCTGCGCGTGTGGAGTCCACTTATGTAATGTATAGAGAAATAAACCCTTATTGGAAAAAAAGGAGAGGAGAGGAGAGAATAAAAAAAAAAGAAAAGGAAGAATAGAAGAAGTTCTCATTTATAGCGTTGGTGGGAAATGTAAACAAGATTTGATTGCACTGTATTTTTTTTTGTTGTTGTTTTTTCTTCTTTGATTTGTTCCTTTTTATTTCCGTGTGTGCGTTATTTTCCTTTTGTTTCATGGGAAGATAAGAAAGAACGAAGAGAGAAAGAAAGAGAGCGGAGGGGAGAAGAAGAATAATAACAAGAAAAAAAAAGAAGAAAAGAATATTGAAACGGACATCACAAAAAAAAAAAAAAAAAAAAAAACGTTAGATACTCTTCTTTTTCCTTTTTTTTTTTCTTTCTTTAATCCCTTTGTATCGCGTTTACTGAACGAGTGGGGCATTTCTCTCTCCTCTACGCATCTCGTCATTTCCTCTCTATTCTGTTTAGTTCTTTTTTTTTTTTTCTTTTTTTAAAAAAAAAAGTTTAATTTATTTGTACTATAATAGATTCTAAATCACACAAACATTGTAAGATTCTCTAGTGTTGTTGTTGTTCTTTTCTTTGTTTTCCACACGGAGGGACCTGGCGGGTTAGCAGTGTGAATGGGTACTCCAGCGTATCGCCGTGGTAGTTTAACGGGGTCCGTGCCTCCGCCCCCACGTAGTCGATATTCCCTGCAATCCCAGCCAGCAATGGGCATAGCAACAGCACCAACACTGTCAACAAATGGCGTAAGACAATACCCGCATTATCAAACCGTTCGCAGAAATCCGGTGTTGCCGTCTTGTACAGATAACGGCGATTCCCATCATCGTTACCGCCGGTATCAACCTTCCACATATCATCCCGGCTACGCGGCTTCTTTAGGTAATGGGTCGCATCATTATGGCAATGGTCTGTATATTAGTAGTAATGATACTCTTGTTAGTTCTAATGGTACATATATGAGTGGTAATAGTAATTATAATCATACGAATAGTAGTAGTAGTGGTAGTGGTGCTAGTACAGCTGTTGCGTGTGAACGGCTTCCACCTGCGACGATGACTCGTGGATCACAACGATCGTATGCTGTGCATGGACGTAGCCATCGGAATGCTGTTGAAAGTGTTGGTCCTCAATCTAGACAAACAGCCATGCAACCATTACCCTCACCATACATGACAAATCATTCTTCTGCTAGTACTACGAATACTACAACAAATACGTCATTAACTTCCCCATCACCACTCTCTAATGCTCTTGGAGGTCGTGTGATGCCAATCCCACTTCGAAACTTTGGAAATACATGTTATCTAAATGCAACCATGCAATGTGCTGTACATACTCCCTGGTTCCTTTCTAGTTTAGCAAAATCCCATGTGGAGGCAAGACGGCAACCAGGAACGGCTGCTTTATTAGAACTTGGTACAATGAATACATCAAATCCCGGGCAATTGCTTCTCACTATTAAGAATGAAGCAGCGAAACGGAATGATGAATTTGCCGATAATGGACAATCCGACGCCCACGAATTCTTACGTACCTTTTTATACATTGTCCATGGTGAAAACAATCGTGGCTCTGGTGAGAATACACCATATGAGGAATTGAAGGATATTGAGAATGAGGATGAAACAACAGCTATGCAGCGCTGGTGTGATCACTTACTCCGTGTAGACAACTCCGTCGTGTATGATCTCTTTGGTGGTGTAATGCGATCCAAGTGTGTGTGTGATGCTTGTGGGAAAATGTCCCTCACATTTGATCCATTTCTTGATCTCTCACTTCCAATGATGTCTTCTTCCTCCTCCTCTGCAGCAGCAGCGACGATGGTCTCTTCCTTTTCATCTTCATCCAAGAAACCTATTTCTATTGAATCCCTGCTTGGGGCGAACTTCAATGATGTGAAGGAGAAACTGCGGGGTGGAAATCAACTCCTCTGCACACGCTGCAAACGACTTCGCAATGGGACCCGCAGTGTGAAGGTCACTCAGTGGCCAAAGATATTAGTATTACAACTCAAGCGGTTTGATCACACCGGCCGTAAGAATGGCGCGACGGTGGCGTATCCGGAATCCTTCACAACATGCGGGGAAAATGCGAAGCGGTATCAACTCTACGGTGTTGTCTGTCATCACGGTACAGAGAGTTGGGGACACTACACCAGTTATGTTTGTCTATACAACACAGGTGAATGGTTTCTCTGCAATGATGCGACAATTACCCCAACAAGTGTGAGAAAAGCCATGGATGCACTCTCACAGGCGTATATTATATTTTACGCAGAGAAAACGTAGTAATATATAATATTCTCGTCTTTTTCAATTTGTGCATTTATTTCTTTCACTTGAAGTATATATATATAATAAATAAAGAAGTAGGGTTTTTTAAAAAAAAAAAACCTTTTATTATTATTATTATTATTATTATTATTATTATTATTATTATTATTATTATACATTCCATTTGAGCCTTTGCCTTTTTTTTTCGGCTGAGAACACTACAGTTGGAAAAATTAACCATAGCGGGAATATAATACTATCTATAGAAAAATGTTGACTAATACACCATTTACTGATTTTATTAGTGGCACTAATGTTGACCGCCAAAGGTGGATCAATCAGGAAGAAGAAAAAAAAGCAAAAGCGAAGATGGAATGAACAAAAGTGAAAGGAGGGGAAATGCCCGGTTTGATATGGCTGTTCTTGAGAATGCCATCGTGGTGCTCTTTTTTTTTTTTTTTTTTTTTCCCTCTCAGTTGCTTCGTAACAATATATATATTTATATATATGTATCTATACATATTGGTTCGATATACTGTTGGCGTCTCACTTACGTAACGGTGGGTTTACGTTAAATGTTTTTCTTCTTATTTGCGTATGTATATCTTTTTTTTCCTATTTTTCCACCCCTTGTCTGTTTGTGTATGTGGAACTTCAAGTTGTTATTGTTATTGTTGTTGTTTTTTCTTCTGTTTCCTTCTTTAGCACAAACCCTGTGGCGAACTGGACCATTGGAAAGGACTGAGGGGATAACCCCTCAAGAGAAGGGGATTGTGGATCTAATATGGCTACCAGTGTGTTATTGTTTTTTTTTTTTTTCTTTTTCTTTCTTTCCCACCTAAAAGGTCTGTTGATACTCCTCACATATTGCATATGATTTTGTTTCTGTTGTTGCTTTCATTGTCCCACAACTTTACTGTGGTATATGGTATTTTCCATTCCCCCTTCTCTGCTCGTACCTTTGTTCTCTTTCTCTCTCTCTTTATATATAAATATATATATATATTTATTTATATATAATATATTTGCTGTTGTACTTTTTTTTTCCATTTTACTTTCTTCAAAAGCGATGGATTGTCATTGTTAGCACCATTGATATTGCTTCTCCTGTTTCTCTTCTTACATTGTATTGGGAAAAGAAAAAAAAAAGGGAAACATGGAGAAGAAAGAGAGAGAGAGAAAGAGAACAGAATAAAAAAAGAAAAAAATGTAGAAGAGTTGATGATGCTTGAGCTTGACTGTATAGAAAACAAAACAAAAGGAAAAAAAAACAAAGAAAAAAAAAAGAGAAGATGGGGTGGAAGAAAGAAAAGGAAAAATAAAATGGGAAGTTAGTTGAACAGTTGAAAGGCATGTATGTCTACTTTTTCTTTCTTTTTCATTTACTATCGCTCTCGTGTCAACCCCCCTTTTATTATTATTATTATTATTATTATTATTATTATTATTATTGCGGGCTCTTACGCTTCAAATAAAATGCCTCATTATATACAGAACATAAATATGGAAAAAAAAAAAACAATGAAAGGGATCTGTACATATTCTTCAAGGACAACGTCTGTTATTAAATTATTTTGTACTTTATTCTCCTTTAGCTTCTATTCCAATTAGAAAGGAAGAAAAAAAAACACATACACGTAAACAAGGAAGGAGAGAACCCCTCCCTCCCTCCAAAAAAAAAAAAAAAAAGAAAAAAGAGTTAGAGTTATCCAATTACGTAAACTCTACTTTTATTAGTTATCATTTCTGTATCATTTAGTAGTCTTTAGACTTACCACGTAGTTGCCATTTTCATTGGCTAAAAAGCGAATACTTTATAGTTTCTCTGAACATCAGCAGCAGTAGTAGCAGTAGCAGTAATAGGAACGAAAAAACAAACAAATACAATAAATAAAAAAACATATCGCTTCACACAACGTAAAGTGAAGCAAAACGAAAGAAAAAAAAAAAAAACTCCAAATAAACAAACAAAACCAAGTACGTGGAGTTCTCTGCGTGATGAGTGAAAATGTGTTTGAGTTCCGAGTATTAGACCCTGAGCTGCGCAAGGGCAGCGGCACGCTGGATCTCGCCTACTGGACGTACCGCATCCGGGCCCACACGACGCTGCCGACTTATCCCCGGCGGGAGATGGAGGCGCTGCGGCGGTACAGCGACTTTGAGTGGCTGCGGCAGCAGTTGTGCGAGGCGGAGCCCTTCTGCATCGTCCCGCCCATCCCCGAGAAGGACGTGCAGGGGACCCTCAACAAACTCGTCGGCTCCGCGTCGGAGGGGGCCGCGCGGCTGCGGGACTACCGGCAGCGGGCCCTGCGGCAGTTTCTCGTCCGCGTGGGGGCCCACCCGCGGCTGCAGTCGCTGCCGATCCTGCAGGACTTTCTCGAAATGGACGAGTCGGAGTGGGAGCGGAAGATGAAGGCCACACAAAAGACTACGGACCGCTTCTTCTCAACCGCACTAGGCGAGGGCGTCAATCACGCACTAACAAGGCAGTGGAACAGCAGCAGTAATAACAGTAGCGCCATCACAGAGGCAGGGAAGGCCTACAGCCGCGTTATCACCGATGGGAAAACAGACGCCCATGTCTGGGAAGAGACACGATTGTATATTCAGCAGTTAGAGGATAGTATAAAGATGTTGCGAGAACGTGTACAAATGCTTGTGGATCGCAGAAGAAGTACCAGTAAAGCTTTATATGATTTTGGTGTGGCTTTTGAAAAAGTTGGAGAGGTGGAAAAAGGTATTGAATCTACATCTTTAAGTGATGCCCTCATCGCCGTGGGTCAACACAGTGAGACCCTCTCTTCTATATATGTTGAACATGCCGGAGATGAAACCAAGCAGGTGGTGGAAACATTAAGTTATTATTATGGAATGTGTGCAGCAGCCCGTGAGACTCTTAAACGAGTTCAACATGCAGTACAACAAGTAAACTCCATTGCACAAAACGTACAAGATCTTATCGCACAAAAAGAGAAAGCGACAACCCGAGGACAGACGGAACGTGTAGTAAAGTTGGAAAATGAATTGAAAGCCATGGAGGAGCGGTTAGAGTTAGCTGCTAAAAGTCTGAAAGATGGAGAAATAATCTTCAAGGATGAACTTCAACGCTTTCATCGTGATAAGCAATATGATGTGAAACTTATCTTAAAGACTTTTGCAGAACTTCAGCTTAAATACGCAGTGCGAATGCGTGAAACATGGGAGAAACTACTCCCCACAGTGGAAAATGTGCAACTTGAGGATTAGTACAAAGTGGGGAGAGGACGGCAATGACAATAATAAGATTATAAAAAAAAATATATCTAATTTTTTTTGCTTTTTGTCGTTTTCCTTCGTGCCCTGCATTGTTTTGTTTTCTTTTTTTTTTCACTTTGTTTTTCAGTTTCATGCTGTTAAGCGTATTACCTTGATATCGTAGCCATTCTTTTTTTTTTTTGTTTTTTTCTTTTCCATCTATCATTCCTTAATACAGACCCATATAGATTTATTTCTCTTTATCTTTATGCATATATATATATATATATATATATATATATAT